AGGTAATCCTTCCTTCCACACCCATCAACACCCCCAAACAAAGAGCAGGCTTGCTTACCGCTTGCTATAAAATTGGTGGTTTCCCCAAGCTGTGTTCCTCAGCTGTGAAGCAAGCTCACTGTGTGGGCAGGTATCCTCTGGGACCCTCTCTATTGCTCCTGTAGCAGCTGGGGGGAAAAGGAACCAATACACATATGCTGATGTTCATGCTGCTATTGTGTCATGAGTAATAAAGTTCTTTGTCTCTGACCCATGAGTCTCATGTATTCTGTCAGTCTTCATAAAATAATAACAGGCTAATTTATTAGGTTGAAGGCAGGATCAAATCAAATCCCAGATACATTGTGTATCATTTTATCTGTACATATTTCAGTATTTCAAAAAAATAAGTCTTTTGAATAAGCCCACAATATATTTTTAACAAATAACAGTAATTTTTAATATCATTGAATATCCCAAATTGTGTTCAGATTTCCCTAATTATTTCATTTTTTACAGTGTATTTGAAAAAGGATTTGAATATGTTTCATGATCATATTGGGTGATTTGAATTCAACAAATTTTATTTTAGTAATCTATATATATAATTTGTAATCTTAACATACAAGTTGGTGGTATTAATTATATTCAGAATTTTGTGCAGCTGTCATCACTATTTCCAAAAGTTTTGCATCTGGGTAATTTGAATCTTAAGTGTTTTTCTTTTAACCTACAGGTTTTCCTTTTCCCATTCCGTTTGTCCTTGCATTTATTTCTTGGAGAAAATCAGATTATTTCTACTATAGTTTCCCCACAATTTGGGATTTTACTATTTTTATAACTGTAGTGATGTTTAACATGTTCCTTTCTTCCCTGCATTTCCTGCAAATTAGTTTTTGGATCTAGAGGTTTAATTAGACTCAAGTTAGTTTTTGTTTTGTAAGACTTTCATTCATATGGGGTTTCATGGATTTCCATCAGATGGCACATAATATCTTGTTATTTCTCTTTTTGAGATGTTAGCAGCCATTTATGATTATTGCCTAGATTATTTATGTTTTGGGGTACAAAATGATGATATTCAAATTCTATTACTTCTCCTTAATAGCTATAATACTTCCCTAAAGGAAACAATTGCATAGTACTCCATTGTATGGAAATTTACTCAATCAGTCTAAACATATTTTGTAAGTCATAATATCCTATTTATCAAACATAATTTTAAGGCCGGGCGCGGTGGCTCAAGCCTGTAATCCCAGCACTTGGGATGCAGAGGCGGGTGGATCACTAGGTCAAGAGATTGAGACCATCCTGGTCAACATGGTGAAACCCCGTCTCTACTAAAAATACAAAACATTAGCTGGGGCATGGTGGCGCGTGCCTGTAAGCCCAGCTACTCAGGAGGCTGAGGCAGGAGAATTGCCTGAACCCAGGAGGTGGAGGTTGTGGTGAGCCGAGATCGAGCCATTGCACTCCAGCCTAGGCAACAAGAGTGANAAAAAAAAAAAAAAAAAAAAAAAAAAAACACCACAATTTTATTGTGATGGTTTTCCAACAAGGGAGAGGTTTTTGTATGCTGTCGCTTGTTTTTTATACATAAAGAGTATAGAGTATGCTTCATGCCTACAGTAGTATTCGAGAAAAATTTAAAAAATATTTCTGTATGAGAATGTGGAATGTAAAATGTATTTATAGCAAGCAGCAAAATGTATTTTGTCACCCTCTAAAATAATCTGTTCGTAAAGTATTTCTTTTGTTAATAGGTACCCAGGGGTCTTTAATCTGGAAAGAAGGCAATCTTGGTAGGGACAAGCAATTTCAATTTCGTTTTCTTCCAATGAAGAGTACTGAGAGCTGGGGAGGGGCCTCCTTTACATGTGTTCTTCTGTTTCTTTTTTTAATGCATGGTTCTAAAATTAAGCACAGTCCCTTTTTTTGGGTGATAGTACATGCCAAGATGGCATATCGGAATGTTTTCCTTAGAACAACATTGAGACACATCGGTGTAAATCAATCAATTACCAGCTCAATGGACTGATTTAGCAGGAATACAAAACTCAAAAGTCACCATATTGATTGAACCTCATGATCACTTTGCCACTAAAAATATTAATTAAGCTTTTCTTTCTATGTCTCACCACAGCAACTCACACCTGGCACTTTGTGAAACTTCTGCATGCTGGGTATTATAGCAGGTGAAATGTCATGTGACCAAACAGTTCTTCAGTACAGTGAAGATCAGATGAATAAAAAGAGGGAAAGAGGAAGTGAAGCATTTTCCAAGTTATTTTTAGTAAAAATCTTGCGCCTCATTATTCATTGGCTTATTGCCATTTAAATAACTTATAAAAGTTCACACATTTTTGAAATGTGGGAGGATTTTCTCTCTGTGCCTGACTCTCAGCAAAGGGACTAAGAGAGTAAAGTAACAATTCAAAAATATATTTGATGGTTTGATATATTTTTATGTCAGAAAAAAACCTGTTGTCTTAGTAAAAATATCAAAGAAATGGAAGCTTAACTAAATTAGGCTTATAGGAAAATGATTTCAAAAGCCCACCTTCCAAATCAAAAAGTGAATGTGGGTAGCATGTAATTTGTGTTTACTAAATGCAACTTAGCTTTAGTACTCCACTGGTGGGAAATAAATTACTTCAAAACTTAGTGGCTGAAAACAACACACATTTATTATCTCACAGTTTCTGTGGGTCAGAAATCCAGGAGTGGCTTAGTTGGGGGCCTCTGGCTCAGGGTCTCTCATGAGCTGCCCTCAAGCTGTGGGCTGGAGGTGAGGCGCCTTCAAGTTTCCTTACATGGCTGGGCAGCCTCAGAAGATTCATTTCCAATTTCATGTGGGGCTCTCCATAGAGCTGCCTGGAAACACAGAATCTGGCTTCCCCAAGAGTGAGAAATCCAGAGAGAGCAAGTGAGCACACAATACAGAAGTCCCAAAAGTGACATCCCATCACACCTTCTGTATTCTGTTCATTAGAAAAGCCTCAGTACCCCCAGCCCACCCTCCAGGGGAGTAGATCTCACAAGGGCTTGAATACCAGGATGCAGGGATCCTTGTGGACCAAATCTCAGAGGCTGCCTACTAGAGTTTGCTCATTTTAAATGTAAATTTTTAAAATAGAAAATATATTCTCACAGTTAAAAATTCAAAATGTCCAAGAATGTATATAGTAAGAAGACTTCTTCATACCCCTGTCTGCTAATCCCCTCCTTGAGCAAATTGTTATCAGTTTCTTGTTTATCCTTTCAGAGACATTCTGTTAAACATCAAGTTGAAAACATGGGAAGCCACAGGGTGCGAGCAGAGAGCACTCCACCTTGCCAGCCCAAACCTGCTTTGCAGAGATAACTCTTCCCCACCCCTTGGATGAAATCTCGAGTGGGCACTATGGCTTTTCACCTCCCTCTCAGATAATAAGCAGTTCTCCAGTCACTTTCAGTCATAACATAGTTTTATTTCAGAAATAAAATACCTAGTCCTGAGTCATAGTCAAACTCCAAATTTTCAGGTTACAGTTTCTCCCCTTCCCCAGCTTGGGCCTGCTTCATGCCAGAAATCTGCATTGAGAAAAGGTGGAGTTCTGTTCTGTACTTCTCCCGGTTCTCTTCCACCTCTTTGTGTGTTCACTGGCTTGCCTTTATCTCTTTCAGCGTTTGGGAATGGAAAATGAGTAAAGAAAGGGAGGGAGCTCTTTTTTCATTTTCAGCTCTTCAGAGATTTCTTCATGAAAACATTGATCCGATGCTTTCTTAATGTTTGTAAATCTCCCCTTCATTAGCATTTGCTCCTAAGGCTGGATCTCCAGTCACTTGGTGCTGGGGTCATTCAGCCCTGGCAGGGAATCCCTGGGGGCAAGTCTCCTCCACGACAACTCCACGAAGGCTGACTTTCTCCCCTTCTCATTCTCCATCTAGTCCTGGGAAATCCTCACACATCTTTTGTAATATCCTAGACTCTTTGGAAAACTGGCTAAGACTATTCTTTCTCTTTGAGGGCTTTTAGTTTCTCATACTATCTGGCTCAACTCCTTTAGGAATTATTATATCCTGGGGACAAAAAAGGCTCAATGTATCACTCCAGGAATTAGAATCCAAAAGAGGGGATGCATCTGCTGGTTGATCAAACGCTTGTCTTACAGGAAATGAAAGAGTTTTCTTGTAGAACATACTTCCCACATGCTGAGATACCTTTTAAGACAAAATAATTATAGTAATTAATTCTATTTTTTTCCCAATAACCCAGCATTAAACACACATGGTAGAGTGGCTGAGGTAATTTCAGGCATGGAGCATCTATTAACATATAGTTGTGGAGGTCACAGTTGTAGATGTGGTGGGCTTTTTCTTTCTCTCAGAATCACATTGTTTACAGATGTAAAACAGGGTATCAAGGTGGCTCTAACCAGGGGCAGCTGAGCAATAGTGGAATTCCTGAGGGGGAGAAAAGTGGATGGTGAGGTCCGGAAGGTAAGGGTGGCGGCGTGTGAGGAGGAGCACAAATGACACAGGTCTTTGGCTTTGGCTCTGAAGGCAAAGGGGAGCTATTTTAGATCTTGAGCAGAATAGTGACACAATCTGTTTTATGTATTAAAAGGATCACTTTTTACTGTTTTGTGAATCAACTCTGGATGGGCAAGGGCAGACGCAGGGAGAGCAGTTAGAAGGCCAATGCACGATTTCTCAAAGATTTTGACCCAGCAATCCTATTACTGGGTGTTTACCCAAAGGAATATAAATCATCTATTACAAAGACACATGCATGCATATGTTCATTGCAGCACTATTCACAATAGCAAAGACATGGAATCAACCCAAATGCCCATCAATGATAGACTGGATAAAGAAATGAGGTACATATACACCATGGAATACTACACAGCCATAAAAAGGAAAAATATCATTTTCTTTGCAGGGACATGGACGGAGCTGGAAGCCATCACTCTCAGCAAACTAATACAGGAAGAGAAAACCAAATACCACATGCTGTCACTTAGAAGTGGGAGCTGAACAATGAGAACACATGGACAGAGGGAGGGGAACAACACACACCGGGGCCTGTCAGGGGATGCATTAGGAATACTAGCTAATGCATGCAGGGCTTAATACCTAGGTGATGGGTTAATAGGTGCAGCAAACCACCATGGCACACATTTACCTATATAACAAACCTGCACATGTATCCCAGAACTTAAAATAAAAATTAAAAATTAAAAAAAAAAGAAGGCCAATATAGTCGTTCAATGAGAGATGATGGTGCCTGAGACCAGGATGCAGTGGTGGAGGTGGTGAGAAGTGGCGTGTTTGGGTTGGCTAGTTCACAAGAGCCAGTTATTAAATGTTTAGGAAGTTTGCAAGCCAGTTGTTAAATACATCATTATTAAAAATTAAGTCAAAGCAACATATTAAATAAATTATGTACAACAAAAGTGATACATGCTTAAGACTCGTCACTTTTCAATTATTTGTACCTAATTATTTTACTATTATTATTATTTGTATTCTTGACGTTATTTACACCTATTATATCTGAGATTGTATCTGGTAGAAATACTCTATAGTGAGGTGTGGCTATGCATCTCTTCCCATTTCAGGGTAGTCACCCCCAAGTGTCATGGGCCTGGAGAGGAGGGTAGCACTCTCGAGGGGATGAGGATTTCTTGGAGGATGACAATATTCAGTGACATTAGGAGTTTGTCAGCCATGGTGGGAGTAATTTACAACACAGGAATTGGAGATACTACAACGTGGGTCTCATTTTTTTTTTTTTTTTTTTTTTGACGGAGTTTCACTCTTGTTACCCAGGCTGGAGTGCAATGGCGTGATCTCGGCTCACCGCAACCTCCGCCTCCTGGGTTCAGGCAATTCTCTTGCCTCAACCTCCTGAGTAGCTGAGATTACAGGCACGCGCCAGCATGCCCAGCTAATGTTTTGTATTTTTAGTAGAGACGGGGTTTCACCATGTTGACCAGGATGGTCTCGATCTCTTGACCTCGTGATCCACCTGCCTCGGCCTCCCAAAGTGCTGGGATTACAGGCTTGAGCCACCACGCCCAGCCTTATTTTGTTTTTAAAGAGAACTACTTGTTAAACATTTACCACTGCATCCTTGCTTATCCTTTTCCCAGTTATATCTAGGAATATGCCACCACCCTATCCAGTGTTTTCAGGGTCCCTCACTTCTCTTATGTCCCCAACCACAGAGGGAAAAAACTTAATAAAGAGGTTAAATAAGTATTATTTACATTACAACAAGATAGAAGTAACATATTTGTATTAAGCATCATGCCATTCATACATAATTAGTTATGTAAAGTCCCCATACCTGTGATTGAATTTTTAGTGCCGGTCCTAGCTTTAATCCCATAGTGCCTCGAAGATGCTCTTCTGTGAGTAACGGCAAAGTTTCTCCATCAATTGCATGATCTTTAAATACCTTAATAAATACAAAAGATATTAATTTTGTCTGAATGTCTTTTTAAAAAAAAAGTTCTTGTACCATCTAGATATTTTAGTTTTGGAGAAAACATTAAGACTGCTTGAGGATGACAGAAAAATTTGTGAAATCTTTTTTTAGTTGCTCTCTTTTCTGTGCCCAGTAGCACATTGCTTGTGCTCTTTAATAACCCTTGAAATCAACTGTAATTCTCTATTTATAGAACTCAATTCCAACCAGGAATAGTGATTATTTGAAGGCCAGGTTCATGAATCATTGAACAATGTACCCCAAATACAGAGGCTGGCATATGGTAAGAAGATGTACAATAAATATTGCTAGATAAATGAATGAATGAGTAAATGTTCTAAGTAAAGGGATGTGGGTGAAACCTGTCATGGTACATTTCATCTCTCACATTCACAGATGTGGTATCTTCTGGCCATGGCTTAGATGCCTTGTAATGGGAAGAGAGGAAAATGCTGCTGAGAGCTTTCACTAGCAGACCTTTCCAGCAGCTGTTTGTCCTGGCTTTGTAGTGGACATGGCATGTCTTCCTTTCTTTAAAAGCCAGGAAGGCTGCTGGTGGACAAAGATTCCAGGCAGATAGAGGGATACAAAATGTAGGCAGATTGATAGGACTGTAATTTCATGATCTTCAACTTCAACTTGCCTGGAAATCCTTCTATGTTCACTGTTGAGCTTTCTCTCCCTTCTATTTCAAGCTGTCTCCACCCTCCTTAAACTTTAGACTCTATAGGGAAAGTCCTCCCTCATTTTCAGTAGATCATAGCACTTCCTAACTTAACAAAACAAAACAATAGATAAGAGCTCCCTCTAATTCTAACCAATGAATCTAAAAAGCTTTATTTTCTCCCATTGTCATGATACAATGGAAGAAGAGAGGTCTCTCCATCACTTAAAGACAATCGCTCCACATATACTGTGGGTCCTCACCCCTCCCACTTCTGGGTTTCACTCAATAGATAATCCCCTCTTTTCTCTTCACTCTTGTCTTCTGCTGGCTCTTCCCCATTGGCATTTAAGTCTCCACCATCATTAAACAAACACAAATAATGAAAACACTCAAACTCCATTTCCAAATACCGCCTCATGTCTCTCACTCTCTTCACAGCCAGATTTCTCCAAAAGGTTTTGATGCTTCCTGCTTTCACGTCCTCATTTCCCAGTCATTGTGCAGTCTCAGGGAATCCGAGCTCTGCCCCGACCATTCCATCAAGCCTGCTCTCCTCAGCCTTCCTGGTGCCTCTGATGTACCGAACATGCAGATGTTTTGCAGATGTTACATTTCTGAAGTTCCTGGCTTTATCTGACATTGTTGCCTGTGCCTTCATGAACAGTGCTCTTCCCTTCTGTCATGAGGCTGCTTGCTCCTGGGTACCCCTGTTCTCTGCTTCAAGGTCACCTTTGCTGGCTCCTGTTTCTTTGTCCATTTTTGTAGGTTAGGGTTTCTTAGGCTTTTGACTCAGGTCCCTTTGGTCTTCCTGATTCGTTTCAGTTCGCTCAGCTTCAGTGATGGCCTCTACATGCTGAAGGCTCCGTACTGTGCATCTTTCACTCAGAAGCTAAATCGTGCCAGTTTGACCTCTTACATAGTTTTCACTGGGCTGTGACAGGGCAGCACTCAGTTCCAATGCAGAGTCCCACAATTACTGTGTTCTCCCACCCCTAAAGGCACAGATTCTGTCTCCGTACCACGTGGCCACTTCTGGGGGACAGCAGAGGGTGGTGTGGGCAATTCAAGACTGTCTTTCCTACCCTCTTCAGTGCCTCTTTCGGTGACGTAAAGTTACGACCAGGTACTGGGATTGCTCATCTGATTTTTTGTTCTTATGAAGGTGCTTTTTGTGTGCAGTGTCGCTCCCTGTGGTGTTCCGGAAGGGAGGACTGTCGGTGGAGGCCTCTTTTCAGCCGTCTTACCCTGCCTCCTCTAGGTTGTGTTCTCATCTGCCCACCACCACTGCTCCTGCACTGGATAGAACTCCATCATTGCTCAACTGAAGAGGCTTACCTTCTGTGTGGTCCTCTTCAACTTGTTTTCATAAAAGCAACCTGAGTGAACTTTCTGCAATATAAACCTCATCAAGCCGCTCCCTACTTAAAACCTGCTGCCTCCAGGATAAAGTCGCAATCCTTCACTGGGTCTTCAAGGCCCTGTGACCTGGCCCTGGCTACCTCTCTTGCTGTCCTCACCTCTCCCACCTTGGCCCTGGCCCTCTATAGCAACAGGATCTACTCTCAACGTCCCAACCATATTAAAGTTTTCTCTGCCTTCTGGCGCTCACCTGGAAATTCCTCCTTTACTCCCTCTTGCCTCCCCTCTTGACTTTCAGGTCTCACTTTAGAGGCCTCTTCCCTTTGGAGGCCATGAGTCCCTCGTATGTGTTCCCACCATGCTCTATACGTGCCTTTCACAGCGTGCTCACACGGATGTGGGATTGCTCCCTGGTGTCCCTCTTCTGGACTGTGAGTGCCATGAGAAGAGGAGCCACATTGGTCTTGTTTCCACCCTGTATTCCATGCCTCAGAGGGCATGACTCAGGACCAGCTGAAGAACAGAATCTTCTTGGAAAGTGCCTACACCGGGAACCTTGTGTTCTAAGATTTTACTCATTTACAAACTATACGTATGCATGTAATTTTTTTCCACAAAATGTACCAGTGTGGAGAAAGGACTGAAAGTTTCAACTTAAAACACACATGCCAGAGCCAACCCCGGTATTCATCTATCCAAATGTCACCCCTCTGATTGTCCTTTGGCTTAGAAATTAAGACTGACCAACGACAATGCCTATTGCTAGAATGGGCAATTGCTGAGGGAGTCAGAAGCTGATTCAGCAGGAACATCTCCCAGCTCTGAAATTTGTGGTCTTTGCCTTAGTTTCTGCTACAGAAAACACCAAAGACATCCAAGGCCACCCTGTCCCCTGTCACCAGAACTTGGTGCTGGCCATTTCCAATCCATCTCATACCATTTGGAATTGATTCTGCTGTTTCTCTATTTTTGTAAGAAGAAGTTTCACTTATTTTGTGTTGAGAATTACAAGTGGGAGAAAGGCATCCTGTCTTCCACCATGCAGTGTCCGTTCCAAACTGCGCAATGCCAGGTGGCCAGGACACTCAGGAGCCACGGGTCCACGGTGCCAGATGAGAATCAGAGAGCACTGGGAAAAGGGGTAATGGCCATGGCAAATTTTAAGGCAGATTTCAGCACACCATTCTTTAGGTAGCTCAGTCTGCTCCAGGTAGAAACCCTAGTCATGCAACACTGATAGAGAGGGGGCAAGAATGCTTCTTTCATCCAGCAAGGTGTTCCCAAAACCTTTGTCCTTGTTGAGAAGGATGAGCGCCCTCATTATCTTGAAAGTTCTCACAGTGATGGCAGTCAGCACTGTCAATCAGGAAATCAAAGACAGCTGTGTCAATGTGTCCAAGAGGCACAGGCCAGAGTCACAAGGGCACACTGTTTTCACAGCATCACAGTAGCTCTCATCATACTCCCACCTGGTCAATTTGCCTTCTCGGTTAAGTCCTGCTCCCACGGGTGTCGGTGTTTCTGCAGAGGCCACACATCTGGAAGCCAAAGTGTGACAGATCCTTCCACTGTGTCTCCATCAGCATAAGCTGGTTCTGTTTCTCAGTAGTAATCACACTTCCCATAAAAATAAGTATCGTTTCCTACAGTTAGGAAGGGGCTCAATAGCTGCTCCATGGCTTGATCTCTGTCCGAAGATGAACAAATCTGCCCACCATCAACGGGGCTCTCAGACACCCAGAATCCTGTCCAGGTGAAAGGCTGCTAGCTCTGCACTGTGTCTGTCATAACCGGCATGTGGTTCCCTTCTACTACATAGTCTCGGCTGTACTGTTTAGGTTTGAAAACAACTTTCTGTTCCCTTTCAAGAAGCAGTAAGGCTTTCAGCTGTGTCCCTTTATAACCCACATCAGCTTTAATAATTTGCTTGGTGGCCATGGCATGCATGATTGCCCCAGCTTTGGTGTCTCTTCACGGTACACTGCCTGGGGAACCACCCACTGGGCTGCAATCTCCCAGGAAGACTGCAAGGTGTGGTCCAACTTGGGTGACAACTCCATCCGCAAGCCAGTCATCATTCAGTGAAAAGCCCTCCTGTGGTCTTCCCGCAACTTAGATGTATCTAAGTTGCCAACCAGGAAAACTTTGGTAAAGATGAAGATGACAAGGAGAATTGCTAACAGCATGACTCGCTGCCTTAGCTTCATGTTGACCTCTTTTCTTCTCCCCTGACCCACTCTTTGGCTCACTTATCAAGGAGAGCTGGTGGTAATGGTTACTAAGGAGAGTCCATCATTATACACATTGGTCCATTTGTGGACGCACCTTCCACAGTTCCTGTTGGGCCCTAGGCTCGCTCGTAGCTGCCCACGAAGTGCAATGCAGTGTGGCCCCAGCTACCTCCAAGGAAGGGCAGCCTGAGGCCACGCTCACCACCCCCATTCCCTGGCCACCTCTCTCAGTGCTGAGCCAGCCATCCCCCCACCCCCCTTGCGAACTGCATTAAGTCATTATTTCTTTTCCTATTTTAATCTAGCAAATTATAGAAAATGGCTAATATAAATTAAGGAGCCAGCTGCAGTGGCTGGCACCTATAATCCCAGATACTTGGGAGGCTAAGGCTGGAGGATCGCTTGAGCCCAGAAGTTTGAGACAAGCCTGGGCAACACAGTGAGACCCCCATCTCTTAAAAAAAAAAAAAAAAAAGATTAGCTGGATGTGGTGGCATGCACCTGACCGTTTGTGAGCATCCAAAGAAGGAGGAATCAGGTGGATAAATTTTCAAGCAGTGGTAGGTTGGCAGCCAGGGACTGAAATGTGTGAGGACCTAACCCTCAGCCATGGTGGATGTGCTCAGGGCCGCGGGCGAGGACACACATGTCCCTGTTGCTCAAATGTACCCCTTTCTTTCTCACCAGAGCAGTTTGGGCCACGTGTATGATATAAATGTGCACATATTTTCAGTAATTTCAGTTCTTTTAGAGAATATTTTATCTGCTGCACCCTCTGAACTAGACATTTACTTGGAGCAAAATATGTTGCAGGGTCTCCTGAATGTTCCTTAGCAGCTGAGCCACCAGTCCTCTCTTTACACCTGTTTAAAAGCATTTATTTGCATTTGGGGCTTTGCGGTTTTTTTGTTACTTGTTTTTTCTTCTGAATTTCTTTTTCTACCTATAGGAGGTGAGTGGTGAGAGGTTGCTGAGGAGGCACCTAAGGCAGAGGCGGGGAGTAAGAAGATAGTTGGGGCACAGTAGGTTTAACTCCAGCTAGTCCCAGCTCCTTGGTCCAGCTCATTTAAAGAGGGGGCTAAGGCCAGGTGCGGTGGCTCATGCCTGTAATCCCAGCACTTTGGAAGGCCAAGGTGGGCAGATCACAAGGTCGGGAGTTCAAGACCAGCCTGGCCAACATGGTGAAACCCTGTCTCTACTGAAAACATAAAAATTAGCTTGACATGGTAGGGGGTGCCTGTAATCCCAGCTACTCAGGAGGCTGAGGCAGGAGAATCACTTGAACCCAGGAGGCGGAGGTTGTAGTGAGCCAAGATCACAACACAGCACTCCAGCCTGGGTGACAG